AAATGTTCCCTCACTGATAATGCCATTAAACCCAACTTTTCTGATTTCAGATGTCCTCAAGTAGCATAGCTCATTGATATACTCCTATCTTGAATAGCCAGACTGATCTCCTGAGGTATAATACAGGGTGATTTTTAGTTTTGAGAATAAGACATCAATGTGCCAAGATATTTTTGAAAGATTAATGCCCCTTTTATTAATAGGTTGTTCCTGGTATTTCCTTTACCCTTTGGCCCTTCTTGGTTCCTGCTTAAGCTAGGAAGTTCTATGCTTGCACTTGAGGGAAGGGCTGTGATGTGACAGCAGGAAGTGGAGAGGAGGACTTCATTTTTGCCTTTTTGAATTTCAGAGACCTGGACCATAGTAGGGAACAGAACTGGTGTGAAGTGGTATCTCACTGTGGTTTTGAATTGCCTTTTCTTACTACATAAACACCTAAAGGTGTTGAGCATCTTTTCAAAAACTTATTGGCCATTGTTCTTTGAAGAGAAAATGGGCAAGTCTCTTGCCCATTTTAAAACTGGGTTGATTCCATAGAGGCAGTAAAAAAAAAAAATTAAAAAAAAATAAAACTGGGTTGAGTCTTTTTGTTATTGATTCATAATCCTTTCTCTTTAAACATGCTGGAAGTTTAGGTGTAATAATTCTTTCTGTATTCTAGATACAAGTCCCCTGTCAGATACATGATTTGCAAATATTTTTTCTGGATTTCCTTTTTCTTGAGACAGAGTCTTGTTCTGTTTCCCAGGCTAGAGTGCCTTGGCATCAACCTAGCTCACAGTAACCTCAAACTCCTGGGCTCAAGTGATCCTCCTGCCTCAGCCTCCTAAGTAGCTGGGACTACAAGGCACGCACCACCACGCCTGGGTAATTTTTCTATTTTTTGTAGAGACTGGGTCTCGTTCTTGCTCAGCCTGGTCCTGAACTCCTGGCCTCAAGCAATCCTCTGGCCTTGGCCTCCAAGAATGCTAGGATTACAGGTGTAAGCCACCGTGCCCAGCTCAGTCCTTCCTCCCCTCCCCTCCCCTCCCCTCCCCTCCCCTCCTTTCCTCTCCTTTCCTTTCCTGTCTTGTTCTATTGCCCAGGCTAGAGTGCTATGGCATTAGCCTAGCTCACAGAAACCTCAAACTCCTGGGCTCAAGTGATCCTCCTGCCTCAGCCTCCCAAGTAGCTGGGACTACAGGCACGTGCCACCATTCCCAGCTAATTTTTTCTATATAAAGTTGTCCAGCTAATTTATTATATTTTTTTTTTTGAGGTGCAGGTATATGACAAAATTTATTATATTTTTTTAGTGGAGACGGGATCTCGCTCTTGCTCAGGCTGGTCTCGAACTCCTGAGCTCAAACGATCTGCCTGCCTTGGCCTCCCAGAGTGCTGGGATTACAGGCATGAGCCACCGCACCTGGCCAGTCCCCTCTTTTTAAGTCAATTATTATTTAAGTCAGGGAAAGGAAGAAAAATTAAAATGTATGTAACTACTGTCATCAGCCTTGTTTTTTTGTTTTTGTTTTTGTGAGACAGAGTCTTTGTTGCCTGGTGGAGTGCAGCGGCATCATCACAGCTCACTGCAACCTTCAACCCCTGGGCTCAAGCAATCCTCCTGTCTCAACCTCCTGAGTAGCTGGGACTATAGGCATGGACCACCATGCCTGGCTAGTTTTTCTATTTTTTGTAGAGACAGGATCTTGATGTGTTGCATAGGGTGGTCTTGAACTCCTGGCCTCAAGCGATCCTCCTGCCTGGGCATCCCAAAGTTCTTAAGACTATAGGTAATGAGCCACTACGCCTGGCTGTCAGCCTTATACTTAACAATTTAGCAATGCCAAAAAAGTGTTTATTTTGGATAGGATGATCAAATGTTAACTATTCAACTCCTAAAAAAGAATTTTTCCATTTGATTCAGTTTATGTAGAATTTAGCTTATATGCTATACTGCAGGGGTTCTCAAACTTTTTAAACAGGGGGCCAGTTCACTGTCCCTCAGACTGTTGGAGGGCAGGACTATAGTTTTAAAAAAACTATGAACAAATTCCTATGCACACTGCATGTTTCTTATTTTGAAGTAAAAGAACAAATGGGCAAAAACACCCACATGTGGCCCGCGGGCCGTAGCTTGAAGACACCTGCTACATAGCATTGTGTCTACTGTGCCAGTCTTTCCCACTAGACTTTCCCACTAGCACTGTGAATGTGCATGCTGCCTGTTTTGTTTACTGATGTGTTCGTAGCACTTTCCTGGTATAAGGCACGTGTCCAATAAATGTTTGTCAAATGAATGAGCAAATGTCAGCATGGGCTAGAGCTCTCAGGGTGTGACACCAATAAGTTCTAGAAAGTTGTCACAAGATGGAAGATGTGGGTGACAAGAGCAGGAAGCCGAGGGAGCTCTGGGTGCTCTTCAGAGCTCTGCCACTCGCGAGCTCTGTAGCACTGGCCCTTCTGGTCATATTCCCTTGTCTGTGGAATGAAGGGATAGGTTGGATTGTTTCCTTTTTAGCATTCTGAGGTTTATGAGCAGCAAAAACTTAAACTATTTAGAGCTAGCTAAAAAAGCATCACCATCAAGGTTTTGTGGTAAAATATTGCTGACATTTGCAGCTGCCATTTCTGTTAAGTATGCTAAGAAAATGGTATTTCTAGAACTAGATGTATTATGAAGGTATTCACAAAGCAGTATCTTAAAAGTTCTTATTAGAAAGACTGTTGGAATGGCAGGGGCAATATATGTAACCCTACCAATATTTGTACCCCCATAATATGATAAAATAAAAGGAAAAAAAAAAGAAAGAATGTTGGGATTAATTTATCATTTTATTTATGACCTATCTACCTTCTTTCAAACAAGATTTGAGATGGCAATCCAGGCTACTCCTAGGGCAAAAGGTCCTTAGATGCTACTGAAAGACTTTTATTTTTACCTATTAACGTTTAAATTTTTGGTATGTAAGAGACTATAAAATCTTTAAAATAGGATTAGAAGAGGTGAAGTGGTTCAATAATGCTATTTTAGCTTGAAGGTCAAAAATTAATGGCTTTTAAACGTTAAGAATGACCTTCCAGTGTAATATTCTAAATGAATCTAAATATCTCCAGTGCTGTGCATTTCAGCATAGGAAGACTTTTATGGGAGGCACAACACAAACTCTGCAGTATTTATAGATTAAACCAAGTATCTCAGCCTTCTCAGGGAAGCAGAAACCCTTGAGTTGTTTATGAAGAAACAGGCAGTAAAAGAGAATTGGGGAATGGGCTTCCTGCAGCTTAAGTGACTAGATACTCTCTAATAACTCCATATAGAAAACATAGAAAACATGGTCTATTGTAATAAAAAGAGAAGATTTTGTGAAAGTGCTAATTTTCTCTCAAACTATTTCTTTTAGGTTGGAGGACCATCACTAGCTACTATAATTCCTATATACATACTTGCTGATAAATAAGCCAGTGACATTTTTGTTTCAAGGAAATGTTTTTTCTTCATAAAAGCATTAGTCTTGATAAATGTCATGCTGGAATCTCACAAATTTCACATTTTCTTAATTGATCCCAGTTCAGACAACACTGAACATTTTCATTTCTTCAGAGAGGCTTATTTAAACTCTGTAGAAGCATAAACATAACTGCAATGCATGAATTTAACCAGTTTTTGGCCATGATGTCTAAAACTTTTAAAATTTTGTCTTTTTTTTTTTTTAAGACTTAGACCCTAAAGCGTTTTTTTTTTCTTTTTGAAGAAAGGAAAAAGCTTTTATTTTAGTATATTTAATGGAAACTTTTTCCTGATTTTTGGACAAGGAATCCCTCATCTTCATTTTACATTAGGCCCTGCTCACATTCACACATAAACATGTTCTTTTCTCACTGATCTTGAGATAAACCTTTCTTGACTCTATCCTCTGCCAGCTACTGCTTCATTCCTTCATTCCACATATCGGCATAACCTCTTGAAAGAGGTGTTTCTTGCCTTTGCATTGTCTTAAACCTACTTCATCCCACTTCTCTCCATGTAAATGGCTCTCGTGGACACCGCAGACCTGACCTCGTGCCCACCCACTGCTCGGTGCCCAGCCGCCTCTGCAGGGGTGCGGCAGCCCAGCGGGATGCTCAGTCCTGGGACATCTTCTTCATGGGGCTTCCAGGGCAACATGCCTCTTTGAGTTCCTCCTTCCTCAATCCCTAAGACTAGTTTTCCCTAAAACTAGCTTTTGTAAACAAAGCTATGACAAAGCTAAATAATTCATTCAATGTCTGTATATTCATATATTAAAATAATGCAAATTAAAGCATAGTTATTTTACTTTTATAGTTGATAAATGAACTTTGCTTCAATGTACCTGTTTTCTAGGTTTGGAATTTTATGACAAGCAATGCTCCCCCAAGCCCTGGCAATTTAAAAGCTTTTATAATTTAGATTTTAAATTATTCTATATTAAGTACTGAGTGTTTCTTTTCTTTTCTTTTTGAGACAAAGTCTCACTCTGTTGCCCAGGCTAGAGTGCAGTGGCATCAGCCTAGCTCACAGCAACCTCCAACTCCTGAGCTCAAGTGATCCTCCTGCCTCAGCCTCCCGAGTAGCTGTGACTATAGGCATGCACCACCATGCCCAGTGGTGGCTAATTTTTTCTATTTTTGGTAGATACAGGGTCTCGCTCTTGCTCAAGTTGATCTTGAACTCCTGAGTTCAAACAATCCTCCCTCCTCAGCCTCCCAGAGTGCTAGGATTACAGGTGTAAGCCACTATGCCCAGCCAGTACTGAGTGTTTCTTAAGGAACTCAGCATATTGCCATAGTGAGTAATCTGATTTAACCAAGAATTATGTCTGAACCAGAGTATCCCTTATTTGGTCAGAAATATTTGTCTTAATATTTCACTTAAAAACTGTATTAATAATAGCTTAAATTATAGTTGTTTGTTAATAATGCCAAACTTTGTTTTAAAATATAGGTATTTGGTTGGGAGAGAAGTCAACAATACCAACTTTTAAAAATTTGTTATACAGGATTATCTGAACCATCCTTTATTGCAAAACATGAAGATAGTTTGTTTAAGGATTTATTTCAAGACTACGAAAGATGGGTTCGTCCTGTGGAACACCTGAATGACAAAATAAAAATAAAGTTTGGCCTTGCAATATCTCAATTAGTGGATGTGGTAGGTGTGCATATCATTACGTACTCGATTTCCCACAAATGTAGCGAGTGCTTGTTGTGTGCCCAGGCACTGTGTTAGGCATCAAGGATTACAAAGGTGAATGAGACACAATTCTTTTCCCAAAGGAACTCACCAGGGAAAAATAATTATTATGCCAAAACATATATACAATATAAACACTGTGTTTGTATTGTATAGTTTGGAAATTATTTTATCTCATTTGGTAATTATAATAAGTATATTTTTAACAAATTCAAAGATGTTAAAACATTTTATATTGAAGTTTTTCCTTAAATGTGTTAAAAAATATGATCAAAAAGTTAAAAAGTCCAAAAGTAGAGTCATAAATTCTTAGGAACATCACACTTAAAACATTTCAGAGATTTTTCCATGTAACATTCACCAGGGAATATAAGTTCCCTTGATAATTTGTTTTGATTGTCAAGAGAGCCTTTCTATTTAAACTAAAAAGTTCATGCTAATTTTTAAACTAGTTTTTTCTTATTTTGATCTTGTCAGTCAACAGTTATTTCCCTGCTGCGTTCCCAAAATAATCAGTAAGTAGATATATGTTATATATATATATCTAAAACAAATGTTTTAAAATAACATTTGTAGCTGCCCCTTTATATTCTGATTATAGAAACAATGCATGACTTTTGTAGAGAATTTGGAAAATGCAAAAAAATACAAATAAGAAAACTTAACTGTAATTCTGCCACCCAGAAATAACTAATGTTAGTAATTTGTTGTTTTTCTTGATGGTTTTTTTTCTTTGTATGTTACAAAACTGAAATAATATTTTAGGTATAATTTTGATTACTGCCTTTTCCCCTACTATACATTATGAACATTTTCCTGTGTCATGACATGATCTTCAAATATAATTTTTTTTTTTTTTTTTTTGAGACAGAGTCTCGCTCTGTTGCCCAGGCTAGAGTGCCATGGCATCAGCCTAGCTCACAGCAACCTCAAACTCTTGGGCTCAAGCAATCCTTCTGCCTCAGCCTCCCAAGTAGCTGGGACTACAGGAATGTGCCACCGTGCCCGGCTGATGTTTTTCTATGTTTTTAGTTGGCCAATTCATTTCTTTCTATTTTTAGTAGAGATGGGGTCTTGCTCTTTCTCATGTTGGTTTCGACCTGACCTTGAGTGATCCTCCCGCCTCTTCCTCCCAGAATGCTAGGATTACAGGCATGAGCCACCATGCCAGGCCCCAAATATAATTTTAATGGGTACATTATATTACATTTATGATTTATTTAAACATCCTATTGTTGGCAGAAGTGTGGTCCCAGTTTTTACTGTAACTAACAATGATGAGTATATTTCTATACAAATATCTGAATTTCTCCTTTCCTTAAGAAAGGTAGTTAGTGAATCAAAGGATATACATTTTTAAAAGTCTGTTGATATATGTCACATAATTGCTTCCAGAAAGGTCAATGAATATATAAGGACTATGTGCTAAGCCCTTGGCTGGATAATATGGGGAGGTTTTAAATATAAATAAAAATAAGAAAGTAGATATTAGAATAAGTGGGGTTTGTTCTCAAAGATCTCTCAGGTTGAGGCTGTGGACATGGAAATGGTACAGAACACTGCAGCACTAAACCATGATGCCATAAAGAGCTGGGGATTCAGATCTTAATGATTGAGGCTATCAAAGAAGGCAGGAAAGAGAAGGTGGCACTTGAGCTGGCCTAGGAGGAAGTGTAGGGTTTGATGTGTCAGAGAAAAAAGGACTTTAATAAAAAGGGACAATGCAATTGTAGGTGTGTAAGTGATTCCAAGCCTTTTTGTAGGACTGTTTAGATCAAGAGTAATGTCAGAAGCCCTGCTACGTGAGTGGTCTGACTGGGTGGCAGAGGAGGTAAGGGGGTTCCTGCAGGCCACTGTGCCTTGCTTCTGTCATTTATTTGGAGAGCTTTCCTAATGGCACAAGCTGTTTATTCTTCAAGGCACATTTGTCAGACCCTTTGTGAAATCTTTCCAGTCTCCCGAAGACAGTCCCTCCTCCGTTCAGTTTTCTGCACCTTAGTATCGGGACCAGTATACTGACTGGCACTCATGGGCTCTGGCACCGCACCTCCCAAGCAGGGTGAGCTTCACTCCCTGTGTCTGTCCGGAGCCTAGCTGGTGCCCGGCACACAGTAAACGCCGAAGGAGCTTGAGGTCTGACAGGCGCCAGACGTGGTGAGAGCAGCACTTGAGGAGGATCAGTGAAACAGTGACGTGTGTGGTTTTGAGGAGTGAAATGAGACTAGGAGCACGAGAGGCAAGTTAGAAGACCATGTAGAAAGGGGAGCAAGACTTGAGCAGTGAAGGCATGTAGGAAGGCCTCAGATTTTGAAGCCTAGGTGATTAGAATGGAAGAATAACAGAAATTTGAAAGATAAAATTAGTTGTTATGGGAGTAGTGCAGTGAAGATCATTTTGATTATGATTTGAGGTGCTCATTCCACTAGAAAAGTAGGTCCTAAAAACGTCATAAAATTGGCATTCAAGGCTGTGACCTCAATATTTTTTCTGTATAGTAGACCTATAGGGAGATTCAGATTCTGACTGCAAGAGACAGTCCCTCAGGGATGCAGAGAAATACTGTTTCTCACAGATTCTAAGATGCACACTTTTCTACATTTTAACACCTCTGAAATCAAGATGTCTTGTAATTCACAGCAGCTTGCAATTCATTGACAGCCTTTCTCTCCCTCCTACCCCCTTCGTGCTAAGCACATAAAATAAGGCTGTGCTTATATCTTAGATTGCATCTTACATTTGAGGAAGTATAGTTGTTGAGACCATGAATGTTAAGTCTAAAAATACCAATGGTGTGCTTTAGGGTAGTTTATCTGAAATACAAAGTATGTTGAAAGGAATAATGTGAAATTAGATTGGAAAAAAGATCCTACTTTTGTAGAGAACTACATTGTTGAAAAGAATGTGTGTACTATATAGAGAGGAGTGTTTGTATAAAAATGTGAAAATTCTTATTTAAACAATTATTTCTGCAATTGAAATAACCTTTTTTAATTTTTTTAAAGGATGAGAAAAATCAGCTAATAACAACAAATGTCTGGTTGAAACAGGTATGTATAAAATTCAAATGAGCACCCAACTTGTGACTGGCACCAGTGTTTTTATTATAGGGCTTATAGCACAAAGGGACACGGATATGTGGTCTTCATGGATTGGCAACAGGATGCAGCAAGATGACGGTAGACAGAGTCCTTGTATTTATTTGGTTAATGTTTGAGTGCCTACTATGTGCCACATGCTGTTCTCAGTCCTATGGATACAACAGTGAACAAACAGACAAAAATCCCTGCCTCAAGGAACTTCATTCTAGTGGGGTAAAAATAAACATGTGAGTTGTATAGATAGCACCTTATAAGCTGATAAGCTTGGAGAAAAACACATTGGGAGAGAGGATAGGAGTCGTGGGGGCTGCACTTATACATAGGGTGGTTGGAGAAAAGGGCACTTTGAAGGCAATGTCTGAACAGAGACTTGAAGGAGAGGAAGCCAGCCATGTGGGCATCTGGGCAGGAGCATTCCAGACAGAGGGACCCGCAGGTGGACAACCCTGAGGTTGATGTGAGCCCGGTGTGACTAGGAGTGAGAGAGCCACGGGGAGGGGTGCAGGGGATGGAGCCAGAGAAGCAACAGAGGCTGTGGAGTAGGCCATTGCAAGGATTTTGACTTCTCCTATGAGATGGGAATGGGTAACAATGTGTTGAATTATTTTATATACACAGTCCCTTTCATACAAAGGACTTTTTTCTGGGCCCACTATAATATGTCCTCAGGTGCTTCCCTTTGTTTGCTTGTACTTTACCATTCCTAATTTTTAAACCTACTACTTGTTCCCTAATCCCAGACTTCTAAAAGGCATGTATGCCTTTCTTGGGGTGCAATCCTTTTTATGATCACAGAATTGTAACCGCATGGAGACTGGACATGGTGTTTCAATACGTGGAATGTGTGATAAATCTAGCTCCCCTGTGCATGGACCAGTCCAGCCAAATCAAGTAACAATACAGCTGCAGAAGGGAACGTTTCCCTGGAACCCGAACATCAGGTGTCTATGGCTTCAAGTCCTGGGTATACCCAGTCAGTGGGAGCAGAGGTGCTGAGCAGAGAGAGCCGTGACCCACGCAGCTCCGGTGCTCACCTGCGTCTCACAGGGACCGTGGCGGGAGCTGCCGCAGGAGGGGGCGGGTCGTGCTCTGCCGCCCATGAGAAAGATGTGGAGGCGAGTGTGTTTGTATTAGGGCAGAGATGATCTCATGTCTCAGATTTCTAGGTATGACAAAACGTATAATTTTCACTATTTTATGGAAATTGAGGCATATTTCTTTGTTTTAAAGGAATGGGTAGATGTAAAATTAAGATGGAACCCTAATGACTACGGTGGAATAAAAGTTATACGTGTCCCCTCAGACTCTGTGTGGACACCAGACATCGTTTTGTTTGATAAGTAAGTTATTAATAAACTCTAAATATAATTTTATATTTTCAAAAGAAAATATGTGTATTACTGTTACGCACTAGGAAGCTTTCTCCCTTTTGAAAACTGTTTGGCTATAAAATCAAATGACTTGCTTACGTTGTTTTATCTCATGAACCTATGAATAGATTTCTGTAGATTCTCTCTTTTGCTGTATTATTGTCCTTTCTTTTCTCTCCTCCGTTCTCTTCCTTTCTGCCTCCCATTCTTCCTCCCTTCCTTTCTTTTTTTTGTCACCTGGGCCAAAGTACAGTGGTGGTATCACAGCTCACAGCAACCTCAAACTCCTGGGCTCAAGGGATCCTCCTGCCTCCACCTCCCAAGTAGCTGGGACTACAGGCATGCGCCACCATACCGGGCTAATTTTACAATTTTTTGTAGAGATGTGGGTCTCGCTCTTGCTTAGGCTAATCTCCAACTCCTGGCCTCAAGCAATCCTCCCACCTCAGCCTCCCAGTATTCTAGAATTATAGGTGTGAGTCACCACACCCAGCCTATATTGTCTTCTGATCATAAAAGTGTCCTCTGATTTCTAAAATTTGTGGAAGATTTGAAAAGTACAGAAAAGTGTAAGGAAGTACAGGGAAATCACCTTTAATCAATCCCATTATCCCATCGCTTAGAGGCAGCTGCCATTATTAGCTTTCACATATAGTGAACATACTGTGTGCCCAGCAATGTGCTAAGTGTCTTATGTGCTTTATTTGATTCTCACATAACCTCATGTGCTGGGTACAATTACATCTGTTTTACACATGAGGAAATGGAGGCCTAGGGTGCCCAAGATGACACACCTTGCATGTGGCAGGGTAGAGTGCACACCAAGGCAGCCTGACATCCCTGTTTACTCTCTTGGTTACTAGCCTACATATCTGGCAGACTTCCAGATATATATATATTTGGTGTGTTTCTTATATAGTTGAGGTTATCTTTTATGTTCAAATGTATACCCTTCTAATTTTGTTTAAATACTGCATTGTCATTTTCCCATGATGAAGAATGCTGGATTAATTATTAACTCATCTTTATACATATCTTACCTAGGTGTGTTTTGAGGATGATTTTTTTTTAACTTGAAGAACAGGATAATTCTGGGTACCAGTTTCATTTTTTTAAGGACCACTCAAGGGCAAATCTGAGAATTTGTGCTTATCCTAAAGCATTCTGTCTTATTTGCAAGAGGGCATTTGCCATGAAAACAGAGCAAATGCTATGCAAAAATACCGTTAATCTGGCCGGGCGTGGTGGCTCACGCCTGTAATCCTAGCTCTCTGGGAGGCCGAGACGGGTGGATTGCTCAAGGTCAGGAGTTCGAAACCAGCCTGAGCAAGAGTGAGACCCCGTCTCTACTATAACTAGAAAGAAATTAATTGGCCAACTAACATATATATAGAAAAAATTAGCCGGGCATGGTGGCACATGCCTGTAGTCCCAGCTCTTCGGGAGGCTGAGGCAGGAGGATCGCTTGAGCCCAGGAGTTTGAGGTTGCTGTGAGCTAGGCTGACGCCACGGCACTCACTCTAGCCTGGGTAACAAGTGAGACTCTGTCTCAAAAAAAAAAAAAAATACCTTTAATCTTTTGAAAACTTTTACCTCCATGCTTCCCAACATAGAAGGGATGAACAAAGCTCGTAAGGTAATGTGATGCAGCTTCCTCAAGCATGAATTTACTCTGAGTAATTGAAAACATTTTTTATGTTAAACATGGATATATTACAATGCAGTATGCAAAAGTCACATGAATTTGAAGATAAAGAACAATTATTTTTTTACAGAAACCTACGTTGGCAGCATGGCTTCCTGCTAGACCTCTCCAGCACAGGGACTCGCTTGGTGGGAGAGTCTGAAAGGCACAGCCGCTTTTCAAGGCCACACCCAGCTTGGTTAAGGGTCTTTGCTCATCAGAGTAGCAAGTGACTAGTATTTGTGATGGAGGGGAAGAGCACCGTGTGGGGAGTCTTGGAATATGGATTCAGGCTCTGGCCCTAAGGACACCCACTGTATAAATAGCCTGATTCTATTTTGTGTGTAGACTAACATCTTTTCAACCACTAGAATCTCAGGATTCTGTGAAACACAGATTTGTCAGTCCTGGAGTAGGTGTGGAAGGGGTTCAGTTCCAGTGGAGTTAGATATTTAAGGAGATGTCCCTAGAGCAGGGTCCCTCATGTATAGCAGGTACATCTGAAGTGTAATTTTAAAATTATTTCATGCTATCAGTTATAGGCATTTTTTATATCAGGCTTATAAAACGCATTCTTGGATTAATTTCTTCATTGCTATTGTGTGCGTGTATTTTAGTGCAGATGGACGCTTTGAAGGGACCAGGACGAAAACAGTCATCAGGTACAATGGCACTGTCACATGGACTCCACCGGCAAACTATAAAAGTTCCTGTACCATAGATGTCACATTTTTCCCATTTGATCTCCAAAACTGTTCCATGAAATTTGGATCTTGGACTTATGATGGCTCACAGGTTGATATAATTCTAGAGGACCAAGATGTAGACAAGAGAGACTTTTTTGATAATGGAGAATGGGAAATTGTGAGCGCAACGGGCAGCAAAGGAAACAGAACCGACAGCTGTTGCTGGTACCCGTGTGTCACCTACTCATTTGTGATTAAGCGTCTGCCTCTCTTTTACACTTTGTTCCTTATTATACCCTGTATCGGGCTCTCATTTTTAACTGTACTCGTCTTCTATCTTCCTTCAAATGAAGGTGAAAAGATTTGTCTCTGCACTTCAGTACTTGTCTCTTTGACTGTCTTCCTTCTGGTTATTGAAGAGATCATACCTTCCTCTTCAAAAGTCATACCTCTGATTGGAGAGTATCTGGTGTTTACCATGATTTTTGTGACTCTATCAATTATGGTAACTGTCTTCGTTATCAACATTCACCATCGTTCTTCCTCAACACATAATGCTATGGCTCCTTGGGTGCGCAAGATATTTCTTCACAAGCTTCCCAAACTGCTCTGCATGAGAAGTCACGTAGATAGGTACTTCACTCAGAAAGAGGAAACTGAGAGTGGAAGTGGACCAAAGTTTTCTAGAAACACATTGGAAGCTGCGCTTGACTCTGTTCGCTACATCATAAGACACATCAGGAAGGAGAGTGATGCCCGCGAGGTCTGTGACAGGTTGCATGCACAAAGGCAGACCCTGCTTCGATTCTCAGTTCAGAGTGACCCTGATCACTTCTGGCAGAGTAAACAGCATGACCCTTAATTAAGACTGAACATAGATTGAGGGCCAGAATTGTTGACATACTTTTCTATAAAAGATCTTTACTAGTTTGTTTCAGTTACAACAACTGTAAAATGGGGCATCTATAGAAATCTCACGTCTCCATTTCCCCCATCAGCATCTTGGATGACTCTAAAGATAATTTAGCATTTTGTATTCTAAGGAATAATAACCCTGCCATATGTTTTTTAGCTCTGACATGATAAACTGTTTTAATTTTATCTTCAGTAACTTTGTTTCTGAATTCTGTAGTAATCTATAGGCACAACTGCATTATAATAGTTACCAGAAGTTATTTTATTTTTTAAAACATGAGCCTACTGTAAGCATTATAAATATAGCCAAGATATTTTTTAAGGACAGATCTTTTTGTTCATTTATAGGAGAATGCTGGGGAAATTAAAAGGAGTAGGGTGTTCTCATAATATATGTTACATATTATATATTAACGCGTTCATATGAAGCTTAGTAATAGTGCCTACTATGCTTAATTTGCTTAAAACCAAAATATTGCTTAAAACTGTATTGTAGAAAAATAACTCATTGGCTCTTTCAAGGTTAATATTTAAAATATAAGAATTGCATGTGAATACTTTTTTTTTTGTCAGACAGAGTCTCTGTTGCCTGGGCTAGAGTGCCGTGGCGTTAGCCTAGCTCACAACAACCTCAAACTCTCGGGCTCAAGCGATCCTCCTGCCTCAGCCTCCCGAGTAGCTGGGACTACTGGCATGCGCCACCATGCTCGGCTAATTTTTTCTGTATATTTTTAGTTGTCCAGCTAATTTCTTTCTATTTTTAGTAGAGACGGGGTCTCACTCTCGCGCAGGCTGGTCTTGAACGCCAGACCTTGAGCAGTCTGCCTGCCTTGGCCTCCCAGAGTGCTAGGATTACAGGGGTGAGCTGCTATGCCCAGCCTGAATACATTTTATTAATGTGATCATATTGGCCTGGGTTTTCTTTCAAAATATGTAAAATTTTTTTATTATTATTATTATCTTGTCACTGCTCTTTATTTCTATTATGTAATATTTTAAAGTTATGACTATGTAGCAATATTTTTATAATTGAATTTACTTTAAATGGTCCCATTAAAATTATGTGATCTCTAATTTCTAAAGCTTTTTTAAATGGAAAATTTTCTAGCAGGTATGGGAAGCAGATTGAATAATGAATCTGTCCCCCCAAAAGGGACATTTGATCTACCCTTTTAAAAAACCTTTGGGGGGAATGTAATTGATCCTGATCACTGACTCTTGGTCAACTTTTTTTTAAGAAAAACAAAACCAGTTTAACAGTTTTTTGCAATACAAGCTTGTAATTTATTCTTACTCTATAAGTGGAAATCAGGATTGTTTTAAAGACTTATGGTTGAGTATTTCTGAACACTCATCTAGGATGTAACAGCAAAGTTGAGTAAAGTATAACAGTTGAGTAAAGTTGAGTAAAGTATAAGTAAAACAAGTTCCAGCTTTTCTCAAATTAGTTATATATTGTAGGATGTATACTTAAGCAGTAAGTGTATTTAGGTTAAAGCAGTTGAATTACGTTAAATGTTGCTATTATACCACATGATATTGAACATTGTTTGGATGCATATTGAAAGATATGCTTTTTTGTAAAACTCAATATAGGAGCTGTGTCTACAATTAAAGTGAAACATTAAAAAAAAACCTTTGGCCAGGCTCAGGCCTGTAATCTTAGTACACTGGGAGGCCAAGGCAGGAGGATCGCTTGAGTACAGGAGTTTGGGGTTGCAGTGAGATATCATGATGCCACTGTACTCTAGCCTGGGCAACAGAGCAAGACTGTCTCAAAGAAAAAAAAAATTAATGCTTGTGGATTTGTAAAATTTTTATTTGGTGGTAGTATAATTAAATGAGTTTGTAAGGTTTGAAGCTATCAATGGAATCTTGAAAACTACATATATTTTTTAGATAATGATTTAGACTGAGAATTTAATAAATGTTTGCAAAGTATTATGCAAAAGTGTCAGGGCTCATGCTACTAGGACCAGGAGATAGTTTTATTTTCAGGGAAAACTTAGAAGCAGAAAAGCATCAGAGTATTTATAATCCCCTGAATTCTAAATTATCCTGAAACTTGGGGCACATTTCCCTATAGAGGACCCCATGGTTTATAAGAGGCTCCAAGGGCCAGGGAAGCCCCTGGTCAAGGAAATGGCCTTGTAGAAAAAGGACCCTCTGGTGCTCAGTGACGGGCTCAGCCTGCCCTTTCCTTGTGGCACTTCCGACCTGCCATATCAGCTTCCTATTAAAGCTGGCGCCATGGCTAGTGGCTCTGTCCTCATGAGTTTAAAGTGGTCCCTAGGAAATCCAAAAGTAAACTAAGTAGGTTGGCAGGGGATGGGGAGAGGGGATTAACGGCCTTCTGATTTGCATTATTTTGAACCTATTTTTAATTTGGCATAAAATTAACCTTAGGCTGAAGTCTCTTAAAAAAATTAAACATTACTAGGCAAGAACAAGTAACAGAAATAACTAAATAGAATAAATTTTTTTAGTTTACTATAAAATATTCAAGTAGTATAAAGATTTTAAATTCTATTAAAACTCTATCAAAATAAGGCTGCAGTGGCTCATGCCTGTAATCCTAGCACTCTGAGAGGGCAAGGCTGGTGGGATCACTTAGCTTAGGAGTTCAAGACCAGCCTGAGCAAGAGTGAGACCCCATCTCTACTAAAAATAGAAAACTTAGCCGGGCACGGTGGTGTACACCTGTAGTCCCAGCTACCGGGGAGGCTGAGGCAGGAGGATGGCTTGAGCCCAGGAGTGTGAGGTTGCTGTGAGCTGTGATGACACCAAAAAAAAGGTAAAAAAGTCTATCAAAATAAACCACTTGTAATATATTACAAGTTGATGTATAAATAAACAAATTTTCTAGTGTATTTTAAAACTTGAGGAGGCTGTATCTGTGATAGACCCTCAGGGCGGCGTCTGTCCCTGAGGTGAGCACAGGCCACTTACTGCTTAGAGGCAGCAAGGGGAGGCATGAACTTATCTGGCCTCTAACTCTGTGTTATATCTTAAAATGTGTAAATAGCTTTTAATTATTTAATGTGTTTTTATTTTTTCATAACAGGTTGTTGAAGATTGGAAATTCATAGCCCAGGTTCTCGATCGGATGTTTCTGTGGACTTTTCTTTTGGTTTCAATTGTTGGATCTCTTGGGCTTTTTGTTCCTGTTATTTATAAATGGGCAAATATAATAATACCAGTCCATATTGGAAATGCAAATAAGTGAGACTTCCCAAGGGGCTGGAGTATGAATTCAGTTACCCAACACACACATTATCTTATGAAACCTATAGAATTATGAAAATGTAAATAGTGTTTGAAATTTGCTACAAGCTTTAACAGCGTAACAGTTTATCTTAACTGATCACCCATGAGAACATCTGACTGTATGACTGAAATAATAACTGACAGAATAACATTTGATCTCCTAAAAACAGCAGCAAAATTATCCAAACTGTACTAGTGAAACCTCTCATATTTGGATCCTGGCAAGTAATACTAATTTGTAATTGACAGTGAAGTTCACCTTTTGACTATGGTGGAAAATTCCAACTGTATTTGAAGACTGATTTTAAAACTTTTTATGCAGTTGGTAAAGGTATACATTTTTAAACTCTGTCCTATGTTCACTGAGTAACAGATAAAGTACACTGTATCTTTAGTATAACATATTGCTACATTAAATAAGCTGACTACTCAATGTAACAATGACTTAATGCAATGCTGCTTTTCTATAACCAGCATTTGTAATAAATGAAAAACTGGAATTGGGAACTCCTTTATTGTCTAGATGCTTAACCCTTTGCACTCGGATGTCAAGCGTGGATAATGTCAAGTGGATAATGAGATAAAAGCAAGCGCGCGCAAAGGGTTAAACTGAGTGACTGTTTCTGTGACTTACATTCCATTGTACATACAGTAGACAACGCCTGTGGACACGTAGTGGCATTTCCTTAACATTAATTTCGATCCCCTTGACTACATTTCCTACAATACGACCATCTTCAATATAAATTGTGGTAGCATCTCATTATCTTTGACCTTAGAATAGGCCACTACAATAACATGAATCCCATTTTTAAAAACCTCTATGTAAATCATTCTGTAAGAAAACCATCTTCCAAGATTAAAGATAGTATTCTAATTTGCTATAAGCACACTGTTACATATACCTGTAATGTTTCGATTTTCTTTCATTCTGCCAATTACAATAGAATCTTAGAGTTGCAAGGGCCTTTAGATGAAGTCAGCCTATTACTAGAACAATATATATTATTCAGTACATTATAATGTATCACAGGTGAAGCAGATAAATTTCAGCCACGAGTGGTAGCTCACACCTGTATTCCTAGCACTTTGGGAGGCCTAGGCAGGAGGATTGCTTGAGGCCAGGTGTTTGAGGTTGCAGTGAGCTATGCTGACACCACTGCGCTCTAGTCTGGGCAACAGAGGGAGACTCTTGTCTCAAAAAATAAAATCATCTCTAATGTCCCTGATTTGGGTATGATCAAGGAAGAAAACACTAAAAGAAATTGCATTCAATTTAGAACTCTTAGCTGTTGAGATAACAAATGCCTAATAAGTAAGTAACCCATCTAAGCTCAACACTCTTTGGAAGGCAGAGGGGACTATAATTTGCATTTTATTATAGGAAGGTATTTAATGTTTTTTGCCATAGGAAAGTCTGGTTCTATGAATTTAAATTGCCCATTAGCTATCTTAGTTTGTATATATCCCTGGATCCCTCTTACGTTGCCATTACTGCTACTTACGATTTTTATATATAAATTTTATAGATCCCTTCCTTTTGACTGAAACGTGAGTCACAGTGGGCTGCAATTCTGTCAGTCTTATTTTTGCACAGGAAAAACATAATGACTAGTGAGAAGATTCAACTGGTCTGTGAATCATCACCTGTCAGTGTAACCACTGACAGGTGGTTTAGATTCAGAGTATACTAACAGTAGGTGATATTCTTTCTTTTTTTTTCCTTTAATTTCTTTATTTACTTATTTTTTTTGATGCTCAAGAAACTGAAATCTACTTAGGTGGCTGGATCGCGCAAGCTTAGAAGTTCGAGACCAGCCTGAGCAAGAGTGAGACCCCCGTCTCTACTAAAAATAGAAATAAATTAATTGGCCAACTAAAAATATATAGAAAAAATTAGGCGGGGCGCGGTGGCTCACGCCTGTAATCCTAGCACTCTGGGAGGCCAAGGCGGGGGGATTGCTTGACGTCAGGAGTTCAAAACCAGCTTGAGCAAGAGCCAGACCCCGTCTCTACCACAAATAGAAAGAAATTAATTGTCCAACTAAAAATATATATAGAAAAAATTAGCTGGGCATGGTGGTGCATGCCTGTAGTCCCAGCTATTCGGGAGGCTGAGGCAGGAGTATTGCTTGAGCCCAGGAGTCTGAGGTTGCTGTGAGCTAGGCTGATGCCACGGCACTCAATCTAGCCTGGGCAACAGAGTGAGACTCTGTCTCAAAAAAAAAAAAAAGAAAAAAAAATTAGCCGGGCATGGTGGCGCATGCCTGTAGTCCCAGCTACTCGGGAGGCTGAGGCAGGAGGATCACTTGAGCCCAGGAGTTTGAAGTTGCTGTGAGCTAGGCTGACGCCACGGCACTCACTCTAGCCTGGGCAAGAGAGTGAGACTCTGTCTCAAAAAAAAGAAAAAGAAAAGAAACTGAAATCTAGATATTCTTTCTTAATTTTTCTAAAGCAATGTTTCTCAACCAGGGGCAATTTTGGCCCTGAGGGAACATTTAACAAAGTCTGGAGATACTTTTGGTTTTTACAACTGGTCAGGAAGGGGAGTATGTCATTGGCATCTAGCGGTTAGAGGCCAGGGTCCTGCTAAAAGATCCTACAATGCATAGGACAACCCCCTCTACCCCAACACATGCTTATCTAGCCCCAAATGTCAGATGTGCCAACGTGAGAAACACAGAGTCATGCCATGACCCTGAATGTTTGTGTCCCCCCACCGAATTCATATGTTGAGTTCCCAATGTGATAATATTAGAAAGCACAGTTGGGCCGGGCACGGGTGGCTCAAGCCTGTAATCAGGCCAAGGCAGGTGGATCGCTCAAGGTCAGGAGTTCGAAACCAGCCTGAGCAAGAGCGAGACCCCATCTCTACTTAAAAAAGAAAGCATAGTTGGGGGGAGTTGGTCATGTATGACAACTCACACCCATAGTCCTACTACTTTGGGAGGCTGAGGCAGGAGGACTGCTTGAGGCCAGAAGTTCAAGACCAGCCTGGGTAACATAGCAAGAACCTGTATCTAAAAAGCAAACAAAAAAAAATGAGCCAGGCCTGGTGGTATGCGCCTGTGGTCCTAGCTGTTTGGGAGGCTGAGCCAGGAGGACAATCTCTTGAGCTTAGGAGTTTGAGGTTGCAGTGAGCTATGATCGTGCCACTGCACTCCAGCCTGGGCAACACAGCGAGACCCTGTCTCTTAAAAAAATAAAATAATAACAGACCCCAGAGAACTAGCTAGCCCAATCAGCCCATGTAAGGACATAACTAGAAGGTGTCCTTTATGAAGAAGCGGAGCCTGACGCTGAATCTGCTGGTGTCTTCATCTTGGACCTTCCAGCTTCTAAAATCATGAGAAATTTCTGTTGTGTATAAGCCACTCAGTTCAAGCCACCTTAGTTAATGAACTAGGACAGTTCATTAACAATGAATGAGTGATTAGGCATAATTTCTCATGTTATAATAATTTAGAATTATGGAAGAGAAATAGTTGAGGTCCTCTGAAAAGGAGGCATGGCTCTTAGACTCTTGCAAATGCATGGTAAGAAATAGTAGTAATAGAGTATTGCTGAAATAGTATAAAACTTCTAGAAGATTATGGGCTAAGAAAAACCACTGGAAGATCTATAGTGATACCAAACTGAATGCATTTTTATATTTCTGAACAGCAAGTTTTTCTATCCAGTTATTTCTCAACAACTGAAAAAGGGAAGATTTTTACATGGTTCATAGCACAGCATACTACTTACCACTGTGGAAGAATTGTATTTTGACATTTCTTTACCCTACCAAAAAGATTAAATGTTAATTTACTCATAATAAATACTTTGATATTTTTCTTGTGTGATTTTTTTTTTTTTTGACAAAAATCAAGACAGCCAGAAAATAAGTAAACTTTGAAATGCCAGGAAACAAAGCTGGTAGCTTGATGACAGAAGGCATGTTACTATCAGGAAACAGCCCCCCCACCCCACGGCCTCAGGCACAAGTGCGGTGCCTACGCACCTTCCCTGGCCATCAGGGGCTGCAGAAACAATCCTGCTGTCCCTAAAATGCACACCAGGATGAAAACCCACAGGAAAATACGATCAATCACCATGGCAACATACTTCCAATCGTCTTGAATCTGCAAAACAAAAATAAAAATCATAAAAGGGAAAAACATGCAGGGAAAGGCAAAGTGAACACATTTTCTACACTGAATAATAAATATGCTGCAGTGGCAGAAGAAGCCATACTGTCTCCAATATGCAGGAAGCCTTTTCTTCTAATGGACATAGTCTGAGGAGATCCACCATTCCCAAGTTTTTCCTTACACAGCAGAGGAGCAGTATAAAATAGTTGACATGTTAGCTGTTTCAAATCAGAAATTTCTTAATGTATACATAACCAAATTTTTCTAAATTGAATTCCAATTTTATAAAGCTGGTAAAACCAAGTTACTCGACTTATGTTCCCATGGTAAGATTCTAGGCCTTCATTAGAATACATAATATAATCCAACATTCTTTACCATTGTTACAAAGAACTAGTTATTATCTAGTTTTAGACATGAACTTCCTTTTAATGTCTGTTCCAAAAACGAAATCAGCATGTCAGGACAAGCCCATCCTCACCTTTCTCTCCCACTGCCCCTCAACAACGCACAGCTGACCAAAGGTCATCTTTGGTGTCAGGCCTAAGTGCCGTGAAGTTCTGTACATTAACCACTGCGGTGCGGCGCTCACCGGCCGCGACCCCTGGCCACAGCCGCACTCGCAGTCCGCACGACGGTCTGCGCTGTGCATGGACGGTGGTCCGGTTTGCTCTTGTGTGATGAGGAAAGCTTGAAAGCACTGACAGCTTGTTTTACTTTACAGGCAGCTTTACTTGTCATGCAAATCAGAATAGGTAACATGCACATATGTGTTTTCATTACGGTATTTTTAAATGTTCACAATTTTATTCTGATAAGTGAAAAATTAGAAAAGTCATATCACGGCTGTGGGTTAAAGTCGCTGTGCACGTTCATCTGTGGCTGTCGACTACAGTCGATGCTGGTCTCGAAGTGGTTAAAGAGCAGGCTGAACATCAGATAATCGCTGACAAAAAAGTAAAATATGGAAGAAAGGGCAGGACTAATTGTATATAATGTAACCTCAATTTGGGCTTGAAATAGGAAGGAGAATTATATGGTAATTATACTTCTAGACAATTCAGAAAGCAAAGAAACCATAATTGAATTGAGAAAGACAGAACCCATGAATCATCTGATTTTGAAGCAATAATCACATAACAGGCAGCATGTAATTTAGTAATTTAATTAAGTATACTGAAAGGGGGCTGGGAGACAATTTTATTTCATCATTATGAGCCTGAGTAAATGTGTCCTCTTGGTGAAGCTAAGAAGTCATAGGTAAAGTCAGCATCATGGTGCCATATTTGCCACAAGGTACTTGACTCGAATTCCTAAGACTGGTTTGTATGTGTTTCAAATACACCACAGACTGTGTGATTCCTACCCAC